TCAGCAGGAGCAATGTGATCATGCCTATTACTTATTAATGCTACTGTAAAATCCCCTCTGACACTTCTTCAATTATGAATGAAACTTTGCATCTAAAATGCTGTCTTGCTGATGACTCACAGTGTAGGTAAATGAAAAAGACTCTTGGGCTAAACAAAAACCCTCGTCTTCATGGTCCTTTTTTCTATGCTTTAAGATAACTTTTTAGACATTAAGATTTTGGAAACTGAGCCACTGAGCACTGATGCTGCACTGATGCTGTTGAGAATCTTCAGTCAAACATTTTTCTGTGGGATAGGGGGGATTATTGGACTTTCACACACCAAGGTTGTGCCTGTGCATCAGCCAGAGCTACTGCTAGCTGTATGCCTGAGGGGCCAGGGTGCTTTTTGATACATATGCTATTTTTTGAGTTCTCCATGCCCAGCAAAGTATTCCTGCCAGCATTTGGAAGCTGGGTGGTTGAGCAGGGAGAGAGTGTCTGACTATGGGCAATCCCTGCTGCCTATAGTTTTCAGTCATAGTTGCTGTGTTCGCTTTTCCACCAACTGTTTCATGTTCTGCCTGTCATCTAATTGCTTTTGGTACATGTGTGTGGAATAAAACCTCTCCTCTCAGCCTTAGCTACCTCCTTCACAGAGGTCGTCTTTGGCTCGGCTGCTTCAGGTTGTCCCTTTGGGGAACTAGGACCTAGGAGCAATTGAAGGGGTTGTTCCGGTACTTACCTGTTTCAGAGGCCAAGGGATGTGCGTGTGTGTCTGCATGCAGTACATTAGACCTCAGGGAGGCATCCTCCTGCTTTACACCACCTGCCCCCCTGCCTTTTTTTTTTTTAAACCAGTAATTGAAACTTGTCATATTAAGTATGACGTTATCTGGCAGATAAAATGTTTTTACTGTGCCAGCTGATTTTAGTCCTCGTGTAGCTCAAAAATAATTTCAAGCTGCTTATTCTAACAAAACGAGGCTTTTGCTGTTTTCCACTGCACCTGGGGCTGGCAGGTAACAGGGTACCTCTGCCTGCCTGAGGAGAAGCAGCTCCTGATCTGGGCCCATGCTGGGAGGCTGGGGCCTGCCTGACCAACCTTTCATTTAGCATCAGGGCTATAGCAACTCTCTTGTTTTCCAGGCACGGCTGTATCCTTGGGGATTACCCCCTCCCACTGTATAGAGGGAGTGCAAGGCTGTTCTGACGACGAGGTTTTCTATTATTTATGTGCTCATAAGAACATGTTTATGTTTTTGTTTGAGTTTCCCTTAAGCATTTGGGTGTTGAAGTTTATTGTTTATATTAAGGTCAAAATATTTTTTTGTTATAAGAAGAAAAACAAAATTAGCAGAGACCTCAATCAGAGCCCTCTGTTTCAGTGCTGCCAGAATTGTTCTGGAATGGCTGTTTCCTTTCTGGGTCTATTGTTCATTTGTTTTGGGGTTTTGTGTTTTTTCATATTTGATTTCTGTGCTTGTTTGTGCAATGTGGTATCAGGAGACTGCCTTTCGTCTCCTACCATATGAGAAAGCGGCAGAGAAAAAGGCTTCCTTTATTATGTGAGTTGAAGCAGTTACTGACTAAGCAGGAGAATGATGTTCAGGGAAAGTAATAGTCTTTTAATTATTTGTCTTCTCGCCACAATGTTCATGCTGGCAAGAATTTGAATTTTGATTTTTATTAGTCTGTTTTTGTGAAGTGCTTTAACATCTAATTTTACCTTGAATGTATATTGTGGTACTGTCTTCCTGACTGATTGCCACAGCTGTTTTATGCTAGTATGTGGCTTACCTTGATGTCAAGAATCTTTTATAATACTTTATTTAATTTTCTTTTTTGCAAGTTCCTGCTACCAGCTAATGTTGGTAAATAAACCTTAGTCTTTTGTTAGTGACTCTGAAAAATATCTTTATTCATTACTGCTTTTCATATCTTTCTGGGTTTTGTTTGTTTTTAACCTGTGGACACTTTCACCAAATAGATTAAAACCAAACTAAATCACAGATGTTTTTCCATCTGACTGATTGTATTGTTCAAACCATATTTTGGCAGAACCACTGATGTGATTATGCTAAGTGTCTTTAAAAAAAATTAATTTTTTACAATGGTGATTTGGTATTTTATGGTTCATTTTGAACAGACATAGTCAAGTGAGCAAACCACAAGTATAAACATGGTGACTGGTAAATTTATTTAGGTTCAAATTTCACCTCTGATTCTTTAGTTTCTGTGTTTCCCAAACCCCTGTGAAATCTTGTGTTCCTGGAATGAAATGTGCTATAAATAAAGACCTGTATTCTTTCAGTGTTTGCAAGAGGTGTATTCGGAAAATGGACCATCACTGCCCATGGGTCAATAACTGTGTAGGAGAGAATAACCAGAAGTACTTTGTACTGTTTACAGTAAGTATTTTGCAAGTGGTGTTTGAGGTTGTCTAGTGGGCAGCGCTGAAATGCTGTGTGTAGTCTGTGAAGCAGCTCCGAAGGCTGCCTTTCTCTTCCTTCTTCTTTCAGAATAACTTTACTGGGAACTGTTGCAGACTTGCTTCACTAGTTAGGGAACACACACAACACAGCAGTGGGGAAAAAGGCGTCACAAGAAGTATTTGCTAGGGTTTTGTGAGGTTTGTGTTGACAGTTGTTCAGCATCTATTTTGTAATGTGAGTAGTTTATTGTGGTGTTGAGCTCTTTGATGTGTGGGCCATCCTTTTACACTGTACTGTGGCTGGTAGGGTCCCAGGCCATACAAAGGGTTCCTAAATGTTGTAGTTGTATGAGTACCTGTGTGGGATCATAGAATAAGAGCTGTTGCCACATCTTAAGCAAGGAGTGAGAAATCTACATCCCCTTTGGCAAGAATTATCCACCTTTTACTTGCAAGTGGTTTATTTTTATACTCGAAAACCAAGGAGGTGTTTGACTTCTTGTACTATATCTGTGGCATCATAAGTAAGAAAACAGGAGTGCAAACTTGAATACTACATATTTATGGAAGGGTTGAAATCTGTTTCATCAAAGCCAACTGCAAATATCCCGTGGGAGTAACAAGGCTGCTGTTTTATTAATAAATCTTTTGAGACATCTGTAGGTTCGAGGAAGAATGTTCTCATATTACCAAGTAAAAAGGGGGAGATTTTCAGTTAAATGGAAAGACTTCTTGTTCTGTGGTGTGGTTTGTTAGGATGTGGATTACAGAACAGAATGAATCCCGTTTCTTTCCCTTGAGCAAGGTTTTTTTTCACCATCAGGAGTGAGCTAGGTGAAATCTTATCAAAAGGTTTCTGTTTCTGTTAAAACTGACATCTACTTTCAAGCAGGCTGTATTAAACACTTAATGTAGTTGAGAGAAACAAAATAAGGGTTGCTGGGTTTGTTCTTGGTTATTCTTTTTGAGACCTGAGGAGTTGAAAGAATGGTAGCACGCTCAACTTGCAAGGAAAAACAAAATACTTTCCTGACATCTTTTACTGCTTCCACAGGGGTTTCTTGTGATAAAATCTCTCTTGCTTCCAATGTCGGCTGACCTTTGTCAGTCTGTAGGTTCATGAGAGTCATCTTTTTACCCGTCTTGGTAAATTGTAGTGTATGTGTAGCATTGCATATAGTTTAAAGCTTTTTGTTACAAAGCTAAGACCTAATTTAAAAGACAAAGGATTAAGTACAATGTATTAAAGCTTGACAGAAACTTTCCATACCAGTGTCTGCCTCAGGGAAAAATAGTTTTTCAGAAAAATGATTTTTTTTTTTTTTTTTTTTTTAAATCTCATGCTGGAAAACAGATAAAGTGCTTTTTGTGGTTAAAACGAATTAGCTGTTGTTTCTCCGGGAAACTGTAGTGCTCTCAAGAGCAAGGACATAAGCTTTGACAACATGATACCTCGATGTCAGAGTGTTGCTGTTCTCTGAAAGTTGGGCTGTACTCAGCAGAGATAAGGGCAGTAAGCTGTGTGGAAGGCTGCGCTGGGGGGCAGGAGGCTGGGTTTTCTGTCCCCCTGGCTTTGAATTAAGCAGTCTCCCTCCTGTGCACTCAGAGCCGTTAGTAAGGCCAGAATTAGTCTGTGTAGCCTTGGCATTTGCCAACTTCAGGGTGCTTGTTTAGGCTTGGTGGTTTTTGGGGTGGTTTGGGGTTTTTTGGGTGTGTTTTGTTGTTTAGCATTTTGGTCTTTAAACTTACCTGACACCTATATTACATCCTTTATTTTTCAGATGTATATAGCACTGATTTCTCTGCATGCTCTAATCATGGTGGGATTTCACTTCTTGTATTGCTTTGAAGAAGACTGGACAAGTGAGTACTAACAAAGTATCTCATTAAAATACCAGATTAGACCATGAATAAGACCTTATAATGTAGTTTCTTTGTAAGGCAACCCCTTTTATGCTGGTGTCAGGAGAATGCTATCAGGGCTCTGCTATGCTATCTCTTTTTTTTTTTTTCCCCCCCATGATCAGTCCTGGAACTTCATAATTTTTTTTGACCCACTGGGATCTCTGTCCTGCAAAGTCCTGTTTCAACTTAAACCTGATACTGCCTAGCTTCTCCCTAGAAGCTGAGATGTAAAGACACCTAGATAGTACTTGTGAAATGATCTACTGTTGATGTGAACGCGGCGCTAATTTCCTGAATGCCAACACAAGATAAGAAGAATGTGTATGTATTTTTTAAAAGGCTAATGTGAGTCATTCTTGCAAGACTGCCAGTAAAACATGCTGAGATCCAAAAGTCCACTCTCACAAGAGCAAACAATTCCTTTCCACAAAAAAAACCCACCCCAAAACCAAACAAACAAACAAAAAAAACCCACACCAAAAAAAAAAAACCCAGCCCTCATTCTGGAGCAGCCATTGAATAAATTTTCACAGAGCCAGTTGAGATGTGTTTTTAAAAACACAGATAGATATGGGAAATCCTCTAGGTAATGACGAGACAAACAGCAAGCTGTTAAAGAATGTGTGTGCAGATGTGTGTGTTGCTTGTGGATTTTTTGGAAGAGCATTAGCTACGTTTTCTTGGAATTTCAGTTTTGTTATTCAGTATAATGAAGTGCGGAGAATGGGTGCATTTACACATACGAGCTGAATTTGACAAGGTTGTTTTGCAGTTCAAAATTTTGTAAAACAGTTGCCAGCAGTCACTGAGAATGCCTGGATTTGACTGCAGTGGCCCAGGCCGTAGAGAAAGATACATCAAAAGATAGAATTTCCTTTGCCCACTTTCTCAGAGACTGTATCTGTGGGGGAAGTACTTTCCCACCTCTCCCAGATATAGGTGGCAGAACTGAGCAGTTAGGAGAGATGGATCTGTTGTTCCAGCTGCCTTGGATTTATGCTGATTGTGTTAGCACCTGATTATGGTGTATCTGTTAAAGCTTAACATCTCATGAGAAAAGTGGGGGTTTTTTTGGTGATACTTATTCTTGAATTTCAGAAAAATCTGGAGATGTTCTGATATTTACAACACTCAACACTATGATTTTTGCCCTATAACATTTTCCTTCCTCTTTTCTTCTGCTCCTCCTTTGTAGTTACCTTCTCAGATATTTTTTTTTTAAGCTCTTGCTTGAGTTTGCACTATAGAGTATGAGGAAAAACAAGAATTTGGCTTAATCTGCCCTTCTTTAGGTTATGGCTTAGAGCAGCTATAAAAGGAAGCATACTCTGATTTTATATTGGTGCTACATAAATAATTATCCTTGTGTCCTGACCACCATATTGAGATTTCTAATGGGACTTTATCAATGAAATTTAATTTAAGATTTATGTTTAATTTAAGATTAATGTTTAAGAGAGAAGCTAGAGGTGAAATGGAGTAGAGTGGAGTCCTAGCCAGTGTGCTGGGGAAACACCTAAATGGAAAAGAAAGTGCATTCTTGAAGTGTTGCAGGGGTTTTTTTGTTTATCTTTTTTTTTTTTAAACTTGCAGAAGTGATCATTCCATTGTTGAATATCCTCAAGAATGTCAGAGCTTCCCTGTGCATCTTTTTGAGAATGGTGATCGTATAACTTATTTTGACAGTTTGAGTATGGAAAACTAGTGGCTTAGCAGATGTTTTGCAGCTGCTGCATTATCTGATCTCTCCCCTTCCAACTCCCATTGTTTTGTCTTCACAGAATGCAGTTCCTTCTCTCCACCAACTACAGTGATTCTTCTCATCCTCTTGTGTTTTGAGGCTCTCCTATTTCTCATCTTCACCTCGGTTATGTTTGGGACCCAAGTACACTCCATCTGCACTGATGAAACGGTGGGTGTCGCACACATTCTCCTTTACCCTGCCTCTCTCACTGTTTGCAGGAACAGCGAAGAGCTCCAGGGTTTTACCTCATTGCACGGGAAGTTCATGTATGTGTACCCTTTGAGGAAAGACCCAGTGTGATAAACTGAGCTAGCACAGTGCTGGACTGTGCTCCCTGCAGGGTACTGTGAGAAGTAGCATACACCTCTGCATTGTCTGGGTCGCTGTGTTGACAGTATCTCTGATAAGGTAGGCATTAGTAACTGGGATTACTCTGTAGAGAGTATTTGTCCCTGTGGATTTGAGAACCTTTTTTCTGTTAATTAAGTGCTTTTACATTGGTATTGGCTGAAATTCAGCAGTGTGTCCCCTAGTGTCACTATTTACAGCTTTATGTGCTGGAAAGCCAAGATGAGTAGGTGGGGAAGGGATATATATACACGCACACACACACACACGCGCACGCTTCTTTTAGTCTAGAAGATTTCCAGTTTTAGCTGCTTATTAAACAGTTCAAAAACTCTTGCCAGAGGGAAAAGGAAAAGGGAGTGGAGTAGGCTCATGGAAAGCTGCTGAGTGTAGTCTGCTGCAAAGCCACCATGTTGTCCCCAATTCAAAGATGGCATAGTAGAGATTACATAGTAGTGTTGCAGTCCATTGTATATCCCTGCATTTGCCCACTTCAGTAAAGATGAAGCTGGTGACTCCTGGGGATGTTCCCACACTTGTGAATACCGCTGGCCTTCACCAAGCATGCTCAGATACCTGAATTAACTGGAGTGGTTGAAGAGAAGTGGTAGTCTTAAAAGAGTGACAACTCTTACTTGCTCCCATGCCTCTTTTGGTTTTCTTTCCTCTTCACTTGTTTGTCCATGGCCAGTTGAAGCTAGAACAGGCATTTTTGCTGCCGTTGGTGAGCTATGGCTGTCATTATAGACTGTGAGAGCCCATCCCTCCTTGCAGTACTTTTTTTCAATGCTTGGCTTCTGAAAGAGGCTGATGTTCACACTGTGGCTCTTCTATGTTCAGAGGAAGACTTCATCTGTTCTTTCTGGGAGAAGCCCCAGCTACACTGTACCAAACTGTACTGTTTGGTACAATGCCATACAGAACAACCAGATCCTGCCAAGCTTGAGTTTATCAATAAGTGCGTAAATCAGCAATGGTGCCTGTGAAATCATCCTCTGAATTTCTCAATCTTTGAAACCTGTCAAGAATTTCTAGAAGCTGTTTCCTGCAGCTGGGCACCCAAATAAGTCCCCCAATTTTTCCCTTCTCAAATTATGGCAAATCATAGATGTTAAAAGAACAGTGACACAATCGAAAATAAAAAATTAAATATGGTCTCCCTCCTGTTGGGATGTGGGTTTTCATTTTTGTTTTCTTTTTTTAATATGTACCAGTAAGGATTTTGCTCTGTGGAGCGTCTCATTGTTGATTTGCTAGCATTGAGCTAGCTGTGTCTGGCAAACAATCTCTTTTGAGCGGAGGAATATTTCCAGGTGAAATTCTTCCTGGTGTGGTGTCTTGCAGTGTTTTACTTCACATTTTCAAGACAGGGGCTGTGTCTTGCCCTTTCTCACCTTCCTCTTCCAATCATTGGGAATCCAGTCATTCCCCATCTTGTGTACGCTGTCCCACCAGGATGGTTCCTTTCTGCCTGAAGGGACCCAGAACCCTAGTATTTTGCTGTTGTCTCTAGAGGTGACATTTATCAGGGAGCAGCACAACCCTTGCAGTTGACCCCTGTTGTGTTCTGCAGAGCTCCCAGAATAAGTAATTTGAGACACACAAATGTATTATAGTGCATTAATCCATAGCACAGGAGAGACATGTAGGTCAGGAGAAGCTTACCTTGCAAAAGGTCTGAAGTTAAAGAACAGTGATCTGCCTGCCACTGCTACCCATGGAAGAGTAATGCTCTCCAGTGACTGCACTCGTTCATTTTGCTTCTGTGGCAGCCAGGCATAGCTTTCCTGAGAGACCAAATTCACTTTGTGGGTTTTAGACACAATACAGATAGTTGTGGGTTTTTTTAATGATTGACTAGTGAATGTTTCATCTGATTGCTTGATGGCTTATTTTTGTTCTCCCTCTAACCTTTACTAAACAGTGCCAATGATTTCTCTCAAATCGGTATCTCATTTAACCCTTTCTCCCTGCTGTCAGCCCATGCATGTTTTAGCAGTAATTCTAATGAAACATGAAGAGGCACCAGGTAGACTCAGCTACACTGAGCCATGGGCATTTCCTGAACTTGCTTGGTGAATCTGGGAGCATTATAGAGATTATCTTTGGGTTTGTGGTTTTGGTTTTTTTTTTTTGTCTGCAAGCTTATAATGGTTTCCTCTAAAACTTTTCCACCCAGTTAGCACATAATGCTTTCAGCCATTAAAGTACATACTTTTTGTTTGGTTTCAGGTGGTGTTTTTGTGGGTTTTTTTAAATTGACATCAGAGGCAATTGGAGGGCAGGTCTTAAAAGGTTTATGAAATATCTAGGCCTGAAAAAAATCAAAGTGATTTTATTTCCAAGGAATACTTTCTATGCTTAATATTTTTTTAGTATAAAACAATGAGAAGAAAAGGCAGTATAGATGAATTTTTATTTTTTCACTCCATCCTTTGGATAAGGGGTAACTGAGAGTAGACTTTTTCCCAAATCCAGAACTACCAAAATCTGAGTGTTTGACTGAAAATGTGATATTTCTGTTTTCAGGGAATAGAACAGTTGAAAAAGGAAGAGAGAAGATGGGCTAAAAAAACAAAATGGATGAACATGAAAGCAGTATTTGGCCATCCGTTCTCTATAGCATGGCTTAGCCCATTCGCAACACCAGACCAAGGAAAAGCAGACCCGTACCAGTATGTGGTCTGAGGAATTCTTGACCAGCATTTCCACTAAAATAGAAACATATTACAGCACTACTGTTAGAAATTTTCCATGAATGTTTAAAACAAAAAGCAAAACAAACTTTTTTATGTCTATTAAATGGCTGATAATTGCAGAGAAAAAAAAGCCCTGTATTCCACAATTTTAGATAATTCTGTATCTCTGGCTGAAATTGCTGCTGCTTTTCTTTTTTTTTTCTTTTCTTTTTTTTTTAATCATGTTAACTTTACTGGCCTTTGTTTCTCTCTGCTTTCTGTATGGCGTAACTAATGTGAAGGGGATCCTCTTTGTTGTGACCCACCTTTTCTGAGTATATTCTCATGCTGTCTCCTGACTGTGATGAGCTCTGTGGAAGACATACGAGTGCCAACAGCTCTACACAGACACCTTTGGACTTCCTGAGGGAGCACATTGCTCTTTCATAAGTGAACTTGAGCGGGGAAGCAGACACTTCACTTACCAAAAGGTGCAAGACAAGAATGCAACACAGCAAGAGAGCCAGTTGACCTGGTGATCGCATACAAAGTACTTAAACATTGCCAACACCAGTTCCCACCCCACCTGCCTTTTTCCTTCCAGCCACAGAACTGAGTCCATCTTTCTGGCATTATTTTGTCTGTTCCCTCCCTTGTGTACAGGAAATTGTTGCCCTGTTAGGGTAACTGTGGCAGATTTAGAAGACTCTTTGGATTATTAAATGCCTTACACTTGAAGGAAAGAAAGAAATCTAATTTTCAAGTGTATAGAATAGCAGAATCATCTTGTTTGTGTGTGTTTGTCTTGGTAAATGACTTGTTAGAGCAATGCCTGCTAAACAGTGTAAATGTGAAAAACTGACCTGAATGCCCAGATTACTATGAAGACTAATACTGATGGGATGTGTAGGTGTACCAGGGTGATTGATTCTATATTCTTAGCATTGCCTTGGTTTAGAGCTTTGTAAATCTTTTCTCATATTTATGCATACATGTGTATGTGTGTAAACATACGCACATATACCTGGAGGTGTTTTAAATTGGGAAATATTTATGCTAAGGAGCATGCATACTGTTGTGAACTGTGTGGTGATGAAAGTGGGAGGGACAGAAGGCATTCCAAAAACGGGTAGAGCTAAACCATTCATAACTACAGCTGACATCTTGTGTTCAGGCAGGAATTTTATTATATTTTTGGATCATGACGCTCATGGGCTCATCAAATGAATTGCAAACAAAGGAAAAATACAAATCAGCTGTGTTCATGACTTCCAAGGAATCTTTTATTTCCTTGGTTTAAAGTAAAATGGTATTTTTTTGGAAAATGACCTGTTTAGACTGCTTCAAAGCCATGGGGGAAGGGAGGGAAATAGGGGAAGGAGAAATTTAATGGATGTCTCATTTTGGAAGTAATGTGAATGCTGCATCTTTTCAATCTGTCAATGCTTCCATATGGAAAACAAATGCAATAAAACTTTTACAAAAATTTGTTTGCTGTTTTTATTTTCTTTCTTCACTTTAAATGTTGGGAAAAATCTGTAACGGATTTCTGAACTTCCACTTCTGTACACAAGCAGACAGAAGCATATAGTTTAGGGTTTGGTTTTGTAGTGCTGATACTGCCGATAGTGGAACGCTATTGTAAATAAATATGTGGCTCTGATTTTAGTATGCAATGGTGTTTTTCAGAGAATGCTCACAGCTTAATAGTGGCGGTCTTAACAGCTCAGCTGGCGAGACATGGTGGTGACCTGAACCCGTAGAGAATCCGGCCCTAAAACTGTCTTGACGCAAAATCAAATATATTGAGAGGAGAGGCTATAGTCACCTAGGCAATTAACGAACGAGTGCATCTCTCTGTACAGCTCATTGCTTTAAAAACCTTTTTGATTATGAATTCCACTGGTGCAAAACAACTGGTTCCAGTTTTGGTCTATATTAATTACCCTTACTCAGTATGCATTTTGAGGGAAGATTGGTTACGTTGTTCTGGCATTTTGACCATCGTGGAAGAAATGTGCAATTACTCAGTTTTTCTTGTTTCGAACAAATGCAAATTGCTAAACAGCATTGTACAGTATCAATGTTTTCAGCGAAACTCTTTTCGCTTTAAATGAGGCGTCATCACGTCTTGCAGAAACGTCCATCGGTCCCTGTCATGCGCGTGTCTCGGTAACCCGGGGCTCCTCGGTTTTTACTTGCGCTGTACGACTTGGTGGTGCGATTTGATGCAATTTGAATGATGCTAAATGTGAACATGAGAAAGGCAGAATTAACTGACGTGCTCATGGAAAGTATTTTTCTCGGGCAGGACTAATCTGATTTTAGGTGCTAGTTCTGTTTTAGCGTGGCCAAGAGACATTGAAGGGCAAACTCGATCAGAGGTGGGGTGCTTTTTTTTTTTTTTAAATTGAAAAGTGAAGGGGTGCTTCAAGCAGAAATACTGCTGCACTCATAAGAAAACACAATTAACGGAAAGTCTGCCTTGATCATGATTTCGGATAGCAACGCTGCCTTGTGTCTTCCCCTTAATGGACAAATTGTTGTAACGCTTGCCTCTTCTGTTCGCTCTTCCCTTTTGGATTTTAATAGCATATTAAACAAAAGGAATGCATGTCTTCTAACATGCACGAGCTGTCCTGCAGAGTGCTTCTGGCTTGGGCCACGCAGCCCAGCAGCCTCCTCCGGCACCGCGCGGGAGCAGACACTGGGGGCAATAGCGGGAGAAACAGGGTACAGCCGACAGCATCGCAGTGGTAATGGGTCACCCTCGTCTTGCTGTCCCCACGTTTGCAACAGTGTACCTCTCGCTGGAGCGGGAGCCTTCAGTATTTTATATTTCTCTATGTACGTCTTTTCGGTAGTTATTCAAAATTATGTAATTTGGAATAGTGAAAGGTGATGCTTTCTGAGAGCTCTTTTTTTAAAGTGAAATAGCTGCATGATGGGAAAGAGAAAGAGGTGTTGGTTTAATTTGAAATACAAAATTCTCATTCAACCGTGAGACATTTTGGGTAAATACACTTTAAAAAAAAAGTTTCATTAAACAGTTAATGAAATGTCTTCAACAGTTCTGCATTCCTTCCATCCCCCTTAATTTTTTTCTATTTTGATTTTTTTTTTTTTTTAAGGCGAAACCTCACACCCTACTGACCGTGGGGGCAGGCAGCCGAAATTAGACCAGGACACAATTTTTTAAACTTCTGCTCATTTTCAACACGTGGCCTGGAGGGATTAGTGAGGTCAGGCTGGGAGAGAGAAAGTATGCCCTCGCCTGCGCTGATTAACTGCTTCCTCGTCTGGCATTGGTACAAGCCCAGCCTGAGCTTGCTTCTCACCTTGGTTAGCAGATAGTCTTCAGAGCAGGTGACCGACCTTTTTTTGGGGAGGGAAGAGAGGTGTTGCTGCCCAGAACTGATACAGATCCTCATTCCCCATCTATGTTGGCAGCGCGGATCGAACCGGATGGCGCGCGTGACTGGGAGCAGGGTCAAAGCTTGTGCTGCTGGGGAAGGGTTTAAAAGCTCGGTGTCGGTATCTCCTCCCGCCCTGTGCTACTTGTTGTCCTTCTCTCTAGATACTCGCGCTGTCGGTGCCGCAGCCGCGGTGCCCGTTTGTTACCAACGTGTTGGAAACCTCTGCGGTTTGCTAAGGAACAGCCGACAGCCAAAGGTGGTTCTTCTGGTTTAAGCTGCAAAAGCGCCTGCCGCCCGGTTGCGCAGCCCCCAGAACCGGAGGGTCCTGGAGGAAAAGCTGACGGTAGTGCCGAAACGCTTCGCCAAGGCTCTGCTCCGCTGGGCACCAGCGCCGCTGCTCGCCCGGCTCGCCCGGCGGGGAGGGAAGGACGGGCACCGGCCGCGGCAGCACCCAGTGTCCCCTCCCGAGGGGCCAGAGCCTGCGAGGGATTTTCCCCGGAATCGCGCGTTGGCAAGCTTGGGAGCAGAGCGCGGGGACGTGTGCCCGTGCTTGGCGTTGGCAAGGCGCACGTTTGTCCTTCAGGGCTTGAAGTTCTCCCGAAATTGCAACCCTGAAGACTTCGGTTTTGGTATTGCATCATTTCTTTCTGCAAAGAAAGATTGGATGCCAAAAGTATTCCAAAGAAAATTCCGAAAATTCCAAAAATTCCAAAGAAAAGCTGGATTCCTCCTAAGTCAGCACGAGAACCGGGGCGTGAGTGAAGCTCACAAAAGCTTTGCCCGGAGTTCTTCGGTTTACGGTGTGTTTTCTCCTGGGCCTGCTTACGCTGACTCGATGTTGCTGCAAAACCAACCTGCTGCTGTATTACAACGTTGTGTTATTTATGTGAGCGCGGCCGCGGTGCCGCTGGGCTGCCGTTGCGTGTATGCCTTTCCCCCGCTGCAAAGCTGTGAAACGTCTTGTGGGTGTCGTTAGGGAAAATCTGCACAACTGGGATGTGACGAGTGTGTTTTTCATCTGGCTCTTCTAAAACTGCGCTTTTAAATGGTTTTAAGCGAATTTGCTCATTTTTCTTTTCCTTGAGTGTCTCAAAACTTGGATCCAGTATTCCTGCTTCTCTAAGAACAGAGTTTCTGCATGGTCGCTTGTATATCGTCATGAGCATATCGGAGGCAGCTGTAGATCTGACGCCTCTCTTACATGATGCAGAAGATGGGCATAGAAAGTTGTGCCCGTAGCAGTAGCCTTTAAAAAAAAAAGAATAATTAAAAATTCTTAGTTCCTTATTTCTACATGGAGAAGACCGCCAGAAAAAAAATGTCGCTGCCCAAATTTGATGGATCTGTTATTTAAATACAATCAAAATGTTTGCTTTACTAAAAGTGATGTTCTTGGAGGGAGAATGAATCAGAATATTGACTGACCAAGGCTCCGGTCCCTTTTTGAAGCCTCCACTTCCCACCTGTACAGATTTCCTCACCTCCCAGCGGGCATCTGGCTTGCATTGTGATTTGTCTTTGACAGTTTGGTAAATGGAAATTGTGTTCTTAAATATTTGCTCTTAACTGGCATGGAGTAGGCTTGGTCTTATGTCAGCTTCTAGTGACAAGCCTAGGTACAGCTGTGGTAAATTCCTAATTGTTGGAAAAAGTTGCAGTATTTTGCCTGTATCTGAACTATTGCAATAATGCTCAAATTAGGTGAGATTTTAAGTTCTAATTGTATTTTGTTACTCCTTGGACCGATCCAAAAAAGCAATGGGTGAAGAGGTCCGTGGTTCCAAAAGGGATGGCTTTTAAGAAGGCATCTCTTTACCATAAAAATCAACAGCAACTGATACCAAAATAAGTCACCGAGATGGAGATTCAGATTGTCCGTGAATTTGGTCTTGGTTTAGGGTTTTGTTGTTAAATTTGGGGACGAAACTCTCAGTAATGCAGGACGTCTGTCTTCATCGTTAACTAGAACTTGAATAACATCCTGGCTATAGATAGGCAGTTTTGCACGTGCTACAGCGGTTGGTGCCCAATTACCTGCTATAAATGTGAGACAACCCAACACTCTTCTCTTCTTGCAGGGTATTGAGCGTCTCAAAAATCAGAAGCCAACCTGGGAGAAGATCAGCGGCTGGGAAGGAATGAAGCTGGCGTTCGGTGGTGCCTTCTCCTTGGGTTGG